CTTTCTGGAATGATTACTATCCTAAACTGCAGCAAGTTTGATACCGAGAAGGAGGTGATCAGCGGTGGAACTACTGGTGTTGCCATGGGAATCCTCAGTTACATTGCATTCGTCATCGCTTTTGTGCCGTTCTGAATTGCACTTGAATAACTTTGCTCAGGTGCAATGACTTGCTTGCTCGGGCTGATATAAATATGATATCACTTACACAACATACTGTTAGTATAGTTGAACCTCATTATTTCCAACTCGGATATTTCAAATGCCCTGTTTTCCCGAACTCAGTTAATTTTTCCTCGAATATTTTCTTTTTCATTTATTTACTATCGGCTATTTCGATGCCCCGCCATCTCATTTCCCTTGGGAGCTAGAGATAGTGGCATGTAACTTTATTTTGGCACCGTTAATGAACTAAGAATGTTGAACTTCTTTTGGAATTTGTATTCTATAAAAGTACGAGTTGACTGAAGTTGTTTTCCTTTCCCTATACTTTCAGCCCTTGTTTGCGCAACTCATAACTGCGATTTGGCCTTTCCATAAATATCCTGATATTTTTTGGGATATTTAGGGGCTTCCGGGATATTGAGAAAATATTACGATATTAATAAAATGTAAGGATATATAAACAATAGCCTCCATTTGGCGCGAAAATATGCTCGGATATTTGTCCTCAGACATTATTTGTTCCGGGAAGTGAACAGTTTTTCCGAGAGCGTAGCTCGAGGAAAACTGTAAGCTTCGAGGAACAGATAATGTCCAAGGACAAATATCCGAGCATATTTTCGCCCATAATGGAGGCTATTTTGTTTATTATTCTTCAAATCTTTTTCGCAACGCGCGCAGTTTTGAAAATCGGGGAATATTCTCAGATATTTCCCAGTTTTGGCCGGGGGATATTCGGTCACGTGACGTGTTTAGACCAATCGCGCGCGAGCGAAAATATATGGCGGATTATAATTAGAAATATTCATAGCTGTTTTTGGCTGACCCTGTATTTTCCTCTGTATTTTCCTGAAACAGTTCTTAGTTTTATTATATAGACACGATCGAGTGTTTTATTGGAAAAGTCACCACTCGTAAAATTCATCCGAAACTACATCCGGGACCGGAGAGGCGTATTTTCCATGGATAATGATGACGTCATTTCTCGCTTTTTCGCCGTTGTTCGTGCAAGCACTCAGTTTGTCTATATAATAAAAAGAAAATTGCAGGGTAGCTTGAAGATATTAATTTTATTTCCTCGTGTTAAAACAATTCTTCTCACTCGCTGCGTTCGCTGGTAAAATACTGTTTTTACCACTCGAAAATAAAATTCATATTTTCCTTCGCGCCGCTGTGCTATATCCTCTATGTATACCAGAAACAACCAGTTTAGCGATTTCCTTCGATTCTGAAAAATATATTCCATCGGCATTTAAAGCATTATAGCGGCAATTCTCCAAAATGGCGGATGCTCGTAACACCGAAGCGCCGGAATCTTCTCCCTTGAAAATTTTGCCCAAGTGATTCAAAATTGGTTAGTTTTAAAACAAAAATAAGAGATTTTTAGAGGGTTTTCAAGACATTTAGAAAAAAAATTTGTGATATTTAGAAACATTTTTATTAGGATTTCCGGAAAGATATTTAAGCGCCTTTACGTGATATTTGTAGAAAGGCCTTATTGCGTTGATCTTTCGTATTACGTGGCAATACAGTGTTATTGTGAAACTCAGAAAACCGTGACACCAGGGACCCGTTTCTCGAAAGCCCCGGAAACATTTCGGGCCCGTAAAGCCATTTTTAGTTCATCTGTACCTAAAAGCGGAGAAGTGTATACGCCTGAAACTTAATTCTTGTAAGAGGGGAACCTCTATTCATATTAAGAATATGTGAATAAAACAGCTCTGTAATCGTAAGGTTCGAGATTTGGCTATGGCTTTCGGGTCCGAAAGGTTTCCGGGGCTTTCGAGAAACGGGCCCCAGAAATATTTATGGAATGCTAGTGTGTGCAGAAAGGAAAAAAAATCAATAAATCGCGAGAAAACTAAACCGCAAACAACAACGTTAACGGTCATTAGTTTATTATTTTAAGTTGACTCGCGTGTCCTGACACTTATTATGATTTGTCAGTACACAGTGGCCAAGTTTTTCTATGAGAGGTGATTCATCATCTTGGACTGGATATTTGTTTTCATGAATACGACTACCATGATTCCCTGCAGGCTAGTCTCATAGAGAGAATTGGCCATTGACCTGTCAGAATCAAATCAAAGTGTTAATGATTTTCTTTTTACTCGCACAGTAACTGACACTATCAGTACGGTGTCAATCCAGTATCGATGCTGTGTTAGTACAGTATTAATACAGTATACACAAAGTGTTCAGAAGAGCTGGATGAGTATCAAATGCGACCAGGCACACCTTTGAGTCACATGGGCGAGCGCTCAAGAGCGAGTCCGAGATCGAAGTGAGCCGGCGGGGAGGAGTCTGGTGAAGAGACGCCAAAAATCTTGTCGCACGCGTACTCTGCAAACCTGAACCTGCTCGCAGGCTTGGATGAGTATTAATAAACCAAATTCGATGTATTTAACTTGGCGCCGAGGGTTAGGGGAATAAAATAAAATAAATCACATCGAGGATGAAGGATGAATTATTAATTTATTTATATATCGGAGCCAAGTTAGAATTTTAATATATCAATATTTGATCGTAGAGCTTCAAGGGATAATTTTAAAATGATTAATCAGCTGCTTTCTTTGTGGTAAGCCATTGCCTTGCGTAATTCTGACTTATCTATCAAGAGTGACCCGCTACTAATTTCTCCTTACCATATCACAATAAAACGATACAAGCCAGGTATTAAGAATAAAGAAAATTATCAATGAAGTTATAATAATTATAATAATAGTATTATAAAAACTTTATAGAGCGCGACTTTCGCGCGACCATACAGAACGTGTATAATGTTGATCATTACTTTGCATATAAGGGATATTATCTTTATGTGCCACCGAACTCTCAGAAGTCACATTAAAAAGAATGTGTGGTGGTTAGGGAGAATTAAGCCTTGATGTCACGAGTTTGTTACATGGGCCTGACGGGCACTCCCTATAATGGCCCATACGGGGAAACTCCGCCCTAAAGGGGTACTTCTTCGGGCTTCGGGTATATAAAAGGGCAGGGATTTTTCAAGTTTAGATATAATTATGAGAGGGGAGGAAAATCTGTTTTTGCGTTCAACGTTTGAGTCGAT